TATATCTCAACAGAGTTTAATATTATTGGTACTAAAGTACTAGGATTTTACTAAGATAAAACAAAGTGTGCACTAAACTTGTATTAATAAATCTAATTCGTATGCTTTATATAAGTATATTTTTTATACTGTATATAAAAAGGTGATTGGTTCCCAGAAGTGAAAGTCCTCAATAGCGACCCAACCGTAACACCCCAAAAAAGGGAAAATTGAACGTAATCCAACTTTTATCAAAGTGGGTTGTCATCCAACGGCCTATGGGTAAGGGAGAAGAGATTTGTCATCTGTGATAAGTTCTCTATAAATGAAAAAACCCACGAATTTCATATATCACTTTTGTGTTGTGTTCTTTTACACAACGAATATTGCATACATATTCCACAAATGGTGGAAAAATACGCTACTTCCATCGCCTGTCATCCATTAATGCCTCATGTCCCAGTTATCTCTACGGTGTTTATTGAGAAAGATCATCCTAGCGTGCAGATTATGATTATACATGTAGAAATGTATGTGTTTTTGAATTCTGTAAAGGTGAATAAAAATTCAAGGCTTTGCCTATAACCTTGAATCAGGAAACCGTTTCAATTTGATATGATTGGAACCTTGTTCTAATTATTTACGTTCTACAATACATCTGTAGAATTTCACAACCCGGCTTTACTGATAATCAATATAATATAGGCCGTGTATGGTTTTCACAATCATAGGCCTTTTAACCATGGCTGTAACAGCAATAGCCTTCTGTTTGCTATTTCTAGTAAATTCGTCTCTACAGGACTTCCCTTTCCGTAATACATCATTATCATGGGATGAAAGAGTGGATGATTTGGTAGGACGATTGACACTTGATGAAATCCAACTACAGATGGCTAAAGGTGGTGTGGGAATCAATGGACCGACTCCCGCAATTGACAGACTTGGAATAAAACCATATGAATGGGATACGGAATGCTTACACGGTGCTGTTGGACACAATGCCACGGCTTATCCTCAATCTATCGGGCTTGCAGCAAGTTTTAGGTATGTGTTCGAGTTTAGGTGTCGTTTAATTATCAAGAAAAGAGGTTTGCATAGTGTACAATTTACCAAAGTGTTGAACTAAGACGCATACTGACAAGCATATTATATCAGTCACCTTAAATGAATTGCGAAAAAAGTAGTGAGTACAGCCTAACTATATGTGCGCATGTTACTAGCATTGAACAAATATTTTCTCCAGTGTGTGAATATTATAATTCTTATAAATGTTCATCAATCTTTAACTGAAATGTAGAGACGCAGAATGAATATGAAAATACATTCCTCATTCCAGTGACATCTATAAAACTAACTAGTATAAACAATAGCTTCTCGATATGTTTCTGTACCGAACAATTTAGATGACGCTACTAGCAACCAATAAATTTTACTTTTTACTCTCATTTCAGTACAGATCTGATATTTAGAATGGCTGAAGCTACAGCAGTAGAGGTCCGAGCTAATAATCATGCTAGTGCTCA